GCGCCCCCCCCCCCCTGTAAGCGATGTCCGCCTGCTCAGGACAGGATCCCGGCGGGAACACGATTAATTGAGGGATCCGTTCTTGCGCGGCGCGTGCGACTGTCTTTGTTTGAAGTAAAAATTCGACCTAGATGGGGGCCCTCGCCACCGCACGGCCCTCCCTGTCGCCCGCAACCCCCCCCCCCCCCCCAAAAACACACACACACACACACACACACACACACACACACCGCCCCCCTCCCCCCCCGACAGCTGCACTGCTCCGTCGGCCTCTTCTTCGACATGCGCGGCGTCTTCTACGAGGAGAAGTTCCAGCGGCTGGTGCGCGAGATATAGCCGAGACACAGTCGAGATATTATACGAGGACGATAAGTGCCAGCGGCTGGTGCGCGCCCCGCAAAGACGCGACACAAGCCACATTCCCCACCCCCCTCCGCAGCAATGCAGACGACACCCATTCTCAGGTGCGCGCCTTTGTCAAAAAGTACCTGCTGGCGACGGTCGGCGACGCCGAGGAGGTCGCCGCCCCTCGCTCCTCCTCCTCTGAGTCGTTGGGTGAGTCGTCGGGCGATGACGACGGGGAGGGGAAGAACGGCAACGGGGTGCGCCGGAACAAGGACGCCAGGAAATACTGAGCGCGAGGCTGCGTGTTTGCGTCAAAAAAAGATACCGTACGGCACTCTAGAGAGCAACCGCGAACGCGAGTGACGGTCTTCTCTGTTGTCACTGGCAGTGAGCGTCTGCAGACTGCACATGAGAGCAGGGGCGGAACGAGCCGTACGTGCTACGGCTTTACGTCAGTACGGGGTCGCGGGGTGTGGATGTAGGGGGCCCACAGCGCCCCAAAATCCGCCACCAGTGTGGGTCCTCGGATTTCGCGCAATCGCTTGACTCTGAAAAGCTCGCCTATCCCTGCGGTGAGCGCTGTGGTCGCCGCAGACTGGCTCCGACTTGACGGGGGCATGGAGACGTGATGCCTCCATGCCCCCGTCGAGTCAAAATCGACATGCGAGGCGATCTTTGGCCCGCCAGAGGGATAGGCGGCGTTTTGGGCGCCGCGGATACTTACACGGACGAGCAAGATTGTAAGACGGCTTGCGAAGGTTCCGCCACTTGCTATTACATCTATTGGCAGCCGACGGGCGGTACAAGTGGTAACTACTGCCATCTTTACGCGACGTGCGACACGACAAAACAGCCCAGTGAAACTGGGACCAACTATCGACTCTTCCGAAACTTCCCCCCACCATCGGAGCCACCACCCCCACTACCGCCGCCTCCGCAAGTGGCGTTCAACCCCGAGTGGACCGAATGGAACTTGGGTGATCCATACGGAAACGGTCTAGTCACATGCGGCGATGGGGAAATCTCCGCGGATACTTACACGGACGAGCAAGATTGTAAGACGGCTTGCGAAGGTTCCGCCACTTGCTATTACATCTATTGGCAGCCGACGGGCGGTACAAGTGGTAACTACTGCCATCTTTACGCGACGTGCGACACGACAAAACAGCCCAGTGAAACTGGGACCAACTATCGACTCTTCCGAAACTTCCCCCCACCATCGGAGCCACCACCCCCACTACCGCCGCCTCCGCCCTCACCACCCCCATCATCTCCACCGCCGTCGCCGCCGCCTTCGTCAAGTCCTTCCCCACCCCCATCAGCGCCGTCGCCTTCGTCCCCACCCCCATCAGCGCCGTCGCCTTCGTCCCCTCCGCCCCCTCCGCCTGTTGGGGCAGAGCAAGACCCGTGCGCGAGTATCAGATACCCCATCGCCTGCTGTAGCGCAACCGCGACTCTCCTCGCAGGTATCAGGTACGCGTGCCACAGAAACGCGGCGCTCGCACGTTCATGTTGCCCTCACAGGCACCTCCACTTTGCGCACGGCGGTGAGGCCGACTTCAGGGGGCGCAACGGCGTCTTCTACAACTTCTTTTCTGCGCCAGGCTTTGCCGTGAACGTCAAGACGGAGGCTGCCACCTTCCGCCTCCGCAAGCCCCAGCAAGATCTGGTCGTGGACGGCTCCTTCATCACGGAGGTGCACGTCGTCGCTGGAGGCGTCTCTTTGCCCGCGTGGGCTTGGGCCAACGCGTCCTTCTGGGCCGACCAGCTCGACGACTACAACACCGGTCCCCACCCAACTCCCTCTCCCCCTCCCGCCCATCCCCGTCCCACCCACCCCACCATGAGCATCGCCTTCACTTTGGCTAGGCGGGCGCGTGATCAACGGCACGTGCGCCAGCCGCCCGTTCAAATTCGGCACCTTCGGCCACAAGGCTTGCGACGACCTCGACATCACGATGAAGTCTGCGCGACACCCTTGGGTTTTGGGCGCCCCGTTAGTGGCGATTGAGTTCCAAGCAACTGCTCGCCCTGCACAGGTATTCCAGCGCCACCTTCAAGTACCGCGACACCTGGGCCGTCGTCGTGCGGGGAAACTACGTCTTTGACCGCAAGAGCGGGCCAACCCACCGCCTCGATCTGACGTTCAAGGAGATTGGCAGCGCGGCGGCGCGCTCCCTCCCGCACGGCATCATTGGGCAGTCATTCACGACCAACGCTCCGCGCCGCGGCAAGCAAGACGTCTACCCCGCTTCCGGCCGTTTCGCCACGAGCGCACAGGCTGAGGGCGCCATCGAGGGAGATGAATCCATGTACGAGGTGGCGTTTCCTCACGCCACCACGTTCGCCTTCTCGCGCTTCATGAGCGCCGCTCCCGCCGACGGCGACGTGCCAGCGAGCGAGCTCCTCCTCCCTAACCCTACCGAGGCCTCCTCGAGCGAGTGAGTGGGGACGCTTTGCTCTGCGTGCCAAGGGAGCCCACGCGAGGGAGCGAGGGGCTTAGCGACTACACGAGAACTGTGCACTCGCTTGCACGTTTGCCCCGTTTTCTTGCCAGGAAAGGTGTATTACTTATTTACTTTTAGGGCTCGCGATTTTTCTCTTTTTTAGATTCGTTGTTAATAATTAATAATAATTTTGTTTCTTGTTTTCATGCGCGGTACTGGGTTCCGGCTCCTACCGCTGGCTGGCCCCTCCCAGATAGGTAGGTAGGTTGGTGTCTCTTGAGTCTTGTCTGGCGCCCCAGCCGATCCAACCGACTCCCTCCGTGGCAACATCATCGGCGGCGGCATCGTCGGCGCCTTTGCCGCCTGGTGGCTGCGCAATGCTTCACCGGCGGTGCGTATCGACGTATACGAGACCGGGAGGACGCTCGACACCGGGAGGGTGACGGACGCGCCGAGGGCAAGGTGGGTGTCCCCGAGACGCCCATATGTGGGCGGGGACCCCTCCCCCCCCCCCCCCCCCGGCGGACCGACCACGCACGCATCTCTCGAGGTCTCGCGAGGTTGACGTTAGCGCAAAATTCTTTTAATATTCCTTGTCCGCCATCCCTCGCGCCGTCCCGGGGCTCCCCTCTAGCTACGGCTCCGACGGCGCGAGGAGGGGCGAGGCCATATCGCGCGACGCCGACCCGCTCGAGGCCGCTGCCGACGAAGTGCCTGGCTGCTCCGAGTGCGCCTGCAGACGAGCTGTCTGGACATGTCGTGGACGTGTCTCTAGGCAGGGCCGCGGCTGGCTTCGAGTGCGCTGGAGTGCCTCGGACCTCGCCCATCTCTCGCCCATCCCTCGGCCACCTCTCGGCCATCTCTCGGTTACATCTCGCCGCGAGCTCGCTCTTGAGCGTCTTGCCGCGCAGGACGCGCCTGCCGACACGTCTCCATGTCATGGGCGTGTCCTGGACACGTCCGTCGCTCGCCGTGCCGCGCAGGACGCGCCGCTTCCCATCCACCGACGCCTCGGTGAAGGAGGAGCGCAGGACGAGCCGCTCGACCGAGGGGAGGCGCCTAGGCGAGGAGCGGTGGCCAGCCACTAGCGAGCACTGGATGCCGAACGATGGACTGGTAGAGGCCGAGGGAGGGGGGCGCCTCAGCGGGCTGTTTGGCGGGATCGAGGAGTCGGAGGCGGCCACCGCCGCGGCCCCTGCGCGCTTCTTGTCGAGGCGAGGCCGCACCTGTCCACACACGCCAGCTGTGAAGAGGCGCCGTCCACACCTCCGCGCCTCCCTCGTGTCGAGGCGGGGCGAGCACGATGGTCAGCACGAACTTGTTGAGGACCTGCTTGGCGGCGCGAATGTCGGACTCGTCGTAGATCTCCTACTCTTGAAGCAGAGCGAGTCAGTCGCATTATTGTTATTATCGTTATGAATGTCGGACTCGTCGTAGATCTCCTACTCTTGAAGCAGAGCGAGCCGTCCGCCGCTCGTCCATCAAGGACGTCGCACTCGGAGGACCCTCTCCTCCGTCAGGATCTCATCTCGGGCAATCTCGGGTAATCTCGGGTAATCTCGGAGGCCCCTCTCCTCCGTCAGGATCTCCTCGATGATGTCCTCGAGCGTGATGACCCCGATGCAGCCCGACTTGCCGCCGGGGAACTCGCCCTGGCTCGCGAGCGCCTGAGGAGGGCGTGGAGAGATGGGGAGAGATGCTCGAGAGATGGGGAGCCTGCACCCTGGCTCGCGATCGCCTGCCTCGCCAGCTCCGGGTGGCGCGAGACAAAGGCCATGTGCGCGTGGCCCTCCTGTTCAGTCGGCTAGGGGAAGGGCACCGGTCGGCCAGGGAGGGGCTGGAAGGGGCTGAGGAGCTCGCGAGGTGCGCCCTCCTGGAAGGTGTTGAGGAGCGCGAAGAGAGAGTCCTCCGGCCCAACCTGCTCCGTGCGGGTGGAGGGTTGCGACCGGCCGATCCGTCACTCAACTAAACGCGCTCTAGCCCGCCCTGCTCCGTGCATTCCTCAATCAGCAAAGAGCGAGTTCCCTCCGGGGCTCAGGGAAGCGAACGTGATCTCGGGCGATCTCGGGCGATCTCGCGGCGATCTCGCGGCGAGCGGTGATGCACGGCGAGACGGGCGGCGGTGGGCGTGCCTTGCGAGCAGCAGCGGCCGCGCGCCGAGATCTTGCCGGGCGAAGCGGGAGGTGGTCGGGTACGGAAGGCACGTAAAGACGATCTGGAGCGAATCCGGCCCAGCTTAGGCCGCGCCGCCGCCGAGAAGACGGCGGGGCGGAATCGGCGCGTTGAGAGGCGCGGCGGCGATCAGACCGCGCCGACGAGCGGCCGGCCGCCGCGCCGCGCCGGGAGGATGCACGGAGGATACGCCGGGGCGTGGACGAGGCATGGGGGCGAGAGGGGCGAGAGAGAATGCAAGGCGCTGCCAGCAGCGCCCGAGGCGCCCGTCCGGCGGTGTGGGCAAATAAAGAAAAGCAGCCGCATTTCAATTTCCGCCCGAAAAAAAGTTTTCGGAAATCGAAAGGGAATGGCTTGGGAGCCCCAGAAATCGCTCCCTATTTGTTGGGGCTGGTGCGAGGCGAGGCGAGGCCTGTGTGGCGGCTTCTGGGAGGGGCTAGGAGAGGGGCGGGTTTGGCGGGAGAGGGGTCCGCGGGCGGCGCGAGCGGGCGTCCGGTGAGCGGTGTGGACGGGGCCGTGCGTGGTTTTGCGAGCTTCGGCGGCGGGGCGGCGCCGTGGCCGTCGGGAGGCGAGGAATGTAGCAGCTGCTGTCGCGCACTGCTGCAGGCCGCCTGGCAGGCGGTGTCATGGCGCCCCGTGAGGTGCGCGGGGGAAGCCAGCGGCGCCGGGCCTGCCGCGCGGGGGCGGGCGGGGGCGGGGACGGCGAGATGGGCCCGTGCGAGCTGCTTTAGCACCCGAAATAAAGTCGGTCGCCCAAAGTCGAGCAGAGGGCCTGAAGATTTCCAGCGCGCGCGGGGAGGGTCACGGTGGTCGGTGGTTTTATCGGACGAGGACGATCCTGGGGGCTGCGGACATCTCCTGCCGATTCTCCGCACGGCTGTTGGTCGCGGGTTGCGCGGGTCGCTCGTGGGGCGGCGTGGGGTCCGTCCTCGCGCGGGCTCTGAAGCGAGGCGATTTTCGCCCTCCCGCGTCGGCGTTTTGAGGGCCTTCCCGAGGGCTTCGGGCGGTGCGTGTTTGATGGAGCGGCAGCGCGGGGCGGCCTCCACCGTTTCGGCAGAAACCGCGTTTTCCGCGCGCGCCGGCGTCGCCCCGGGAAAGTCGTGTCGCTGCGCTCCACGACTTTCTCCCGGGCTCCGCCACTGTGTGGAACGGGCTAGCTCAAGGTTGCGTTAGATTGTCAATGGAGAATGGCCGCGTTCTCGCCCCTTTCCTGTCCGCGTGGGTCTCAGAGGACGAATGAGCACCGGACCTTCGAGGACATCAAAGTCGGCCGCGCCCCACGGCTATCCCGCCGGCTCTCGAGTGTCGCAGCGCGACGCGCTTCACCCCTCGACTCCGCGCTGCGAGTCGATTGGGAGACGACGCTCGGCCACTGCCAACTCCACCCTGACGTGACGCACATGCGCCGAGTGTCCCCCCCGAGGGTGTCCTTGTATAGTATAGTTGGTTGCGAGTTAAAAAAAGCCCGTTCCGCACACGCAGCCAGCACCAGTACACATGCCGTTCTGGTGCCCCTCGGCTGGCCAGAGGACGACTCACAATGCAAAATCGGAAAGACATCACGAGGGGCCGTATAAACGGTGCCGCAGCGGCCCGGGACACTAACAGTGAGTTGCTGCCACTCGCCCGGCCTCCTCCCCCTCGGGGTCGCCCGGAAAGTGGGCTTGCGCACCGGCGCCCCCCCCCAGCACGCCGACCCGAGGTGTACCCTCCGGCCACCTGGGAGGGGAGCGCTCTCCCTTTTTGGCCCATTGGCTTCACCATGATGGATACGGAGGTGGCCAGCCCTTGGTTGTGCACCTGCGGCGCGAAGAGGAGGTGATCTCGGCGGACGACGGCCATGCCGAGAGCGGGTCCAGCGCGGAAGAGGGTGCGCAGCGCGTCGCGGCCGCGCGCTTGGGAGCCGGGGGGATGGCCGGAGGGGGTGGGACGCCTGCATGTGCTCGAAGCTCCCAACCGCATACGCAAGCCGAGCCGCGAACGGCGGGGAGGGAGTTTTGGAGGGTCAGCCAAGGACGCGCATGGCGAGTGACAAACGAACGCAACCTGCCCCGTCGCTGGTTTCTCATCGTGGCCGGGGCGTGTGGTTGCGGCGGTGGCAATGAATCTCTCTCCCTCTCTCTCTCTTCCTGCGCGCGCAGCGCGCGATTTTTTCGCGAGGTTGACCGTTTTATCGACTTTTGAGCCCTTCTTCGAGCCGTGGCGGGGGAGCGTGTAACCCTAACTTAACCCTAGCTCTCGACGTGATCCTAACCCTAACGTCATGAGACGGTGTGCCACCTCTAACCCTAACCGCAACACTACCCTGGCTCACCCTAACGACACCCGGCAATCTTTATGCTTGGGGCGCTCGAGAGCGCCGCGTGGGCGAGGAGAGCCGGCCCAGCTCGCCGGAGGCGGTCTCGTGGCGAAGACGGCGGCGGTGAGATGGAGGGTTGCGGCGGGATCGAAGGCATTTTTTCCGTCGGCACGGCGGTCGGCCACCGCCGATGCGAGGCTGCGCCTCGCCTTTGCTGCTCGGCGCAGCGGGTGGTGACGCTGTGACCGAGAGAGCCGACGCAACATCGAGAGTCGCGACCGCGCGGTGTCGAGGTGACGTGACAGCGAAAAGAGCACGAGAGAGGCGGCCGGCGCTCCGAGTCGATGAGCGAAGACCCTAGCAGCGACAGCACGAAGCGTGAGCGAGAGCGAGCGGGTGCGGGTCAGGTGGCGCTGGTGTCGAGTCCTGCAGAGCGAGGCAGTGAGTGCGATGGCGGCCGCAGAGCAGTTTCGGAACCGGCGGTGGCGAGGGCGGCGGCAAGTGCAGGAGAGCGAGTCCGTCGCATGCACACGGAAATGCCATGGCTACGCAGTGGGTGGTGTGGACGGAGCGGAGGCGTTGCGTGGGTGCACGCTGCGACGCGCCTGCGCGAGCGTGAGCAAATGGCGAGCGAGCGATGCCGTCCGCGACCGAAAAAGAATTTTGCGGGCCAGCCGGTAAAGAATTTTCGACAAAGGGCGGTCGCACGAAACGATTCACGCGACAGGCGAGGCAGGAAAAGAATTGGAACCCGGAAAACGAAGAATCGACGCGCCGAGATGGATGCGCTGAGAAGAAGAAAAACATTTGTCAGACGCCATTCAAAGGCCGTGTGTCGCGTGTGCTGCGCTACACGCTCGGCGCTGCTAGCCCGGCGAGGAGCGCCTTTGGGGCGGCGAGAAGGCGCCGGACGGCATTCACGACTCGAGGTGTGAAGAGACGCCGTTCGCACTTTGTGCCACGAATAGGGCTCAGATCGCCGACTCACGAGACGGCCATCGCGGTGCGTGTGCAGCACGTGCTCCTACGCACGCGCCGCGCTCTCCACACGGCGCGCAGCGCCGCTAGAGCGGCTTGACGGCGAAAAAATGACTTAGCGGCTTTGAGGTGTGAAAAGACGGTTCTCACACTTTTCGGCTCGGATAAGGTGTGAAAAGACGGTTCTCACATTTTTCGACTCGGATAGGGCTCGAGGCGCCGACTCATCAGACGCCGTGCGAGTGGCGTGTTGCGCGTGTGCTGCGCTGCACGATCGGCGCTGTAGCAAGGCGCGGAGCGCCCTTGGGCCGGTGAGAAGGCGCCGGACGGTGTTCACGGCTCGAAGTGTGAAGAGGCGCCGTTCACACTCTTTGCTATGAATAGGGCTCGGCTCGCCGACTCGTGAGACGGCCTTCGCGGTGCGTGTGCAGCACGTGCTCCTACGCACGCGCCGCGCTCTCCACGTGGCGCGCAGCGCCGCTAGAGCGGTTTGACGGCGAAAAAATGACTTAGCGGTTTCGAGGTGTGAAATGACGGTTCTCACACTTTTCGACTCGGATAGGGCTTGAGGCGCCGTTTTAGCAGACGCCGTGCAAGTGGCGTGTCGCACGTGTGCTGCGCTGCACGCTCGGCGCCGTTTGTACGGCGCGCAGCGCCCTTGGGGCGGTGAGAAGGCGCCGGACGGTGTTCACGGCTCGAGGTGTGAAGAGGCGCCGTTCACACTCTTTGCTATGACCAGGGCTCGGCTCGCCGACTCGTGAGACGGCCTTCACCGTGCGTGTGCAGCGCGTGCTCCTCTGCACGCGCCACGCTCTCTTTGCGGCGCGCAGCGCCGCCAGAGCGGTTTGACGGCGAAAAAATGACTTAGCGGTTTCGAGGTGTGAAATGACGGTTCTCACACTTTTCGACTCGGATAGGGCTTGAGGCGCCGTTTTAGCAGACGCCGTAGGTGTGAAATGACGGTTCTCACACTTTTCGACTCGGATAGGGCTTGAGGCGCCGTTTTATCAGACGCCGTGCAAGTGGCGTGTCGCACGTGTGCTGCGCTGCACGCTCGGCGCCGTTTGTACGGCGCGCAGCGCCCTTGGGGCGGTGAGAAGGCGCCGGACGGTGTTCACGGCTCGAGGTGTGAAGAGGCGCCGTTCACACTCTTTGCTATGACCAGGGCTCGGCTCGCCGACTCGTGAGACGGCCTTTACCGTGCGTGTGCAGTGTGTGCTCCTACGCACGCGCCGCGCTCTCTTTGCGGCGCGCAGCGCCGCCAGAGCGGTTTGACGGCGAAAAAATGACTTAGCGGTTTCGAGGTGTGAAATGACGGTTCTCACACTTTTCGACTCGGATAGGGCTTGAGGCGCCGTTTTAGCAGACGCCGTGCAAGGGGCGTGTCGAACGTGTGCTGCGCTGCACGCTCGGCGCCGTTTGCACGGCGCGCAGCGCCCTTGGGGCGGTGAGAAGGCGGTTGCCGGCGTTCACGGTGTTAAGGTGTGAAGAGGCGCCGTTCACACTCTTTGCTATGACCAGGGCTCGGCTCGCCGACTCGTGAGACGGCCTTTACCGTGCGTGTGCAGTGTGTGCTCCTCTGCACGCGCCGCGCTCTCTTTGCGGCGCGCAGCGCCGCTAGAGCGGCTTGACGGCGAAAAAATGACTTAGCGGTTTCGAGGTGTGAAATGACGGTTCTCACACTAATAATAATTTTGTTTCTTGTTTTCATGCGCGGTACTGGGTTCCGGCTCCTACCGGATAGGGGTCTGCTGCCGCTGGCTGGCCCCTCCCAGATAGGTAGGTAGGTTGGTGTCTCTTGAGTCTTGTCTGGCGCCCCAGCCGATCCAACCGACTCCCTCCGTGGCAATCATCGGCGGCGGCATCGTCGGCGCCTTTGCCGCCTGGTGGCTGCGCAATGCTTCACCGGCGGTGCGTATCGACGTTTACGAGACCGGGAGGACGCTCGACACCGGGAGGGTGACGGACGCGCCGAGGGCAAGGTGGGTGTCCCCGAGACGCCCATATGTGGGCGGGGACCCCTCCCCCCCCCCCCCCCGGCGGACCGACCACGCACGCATCTCTCGAGGTCTCGCGAGGTTGACGTTAGCGCAAAATTCTTTTAATATTCCTTGTCCGCCATCCCTCGCGCCGTCCCGGGGCTCCCCTCTAGCTACGGCTCCGACGGCGCGAGGAGGGGCGAGGCCATATCGCGCGACGCCGACCCGCTCGAGGCCGCTGCCGACGAAGTGCCTGGCTGCTCCGAGTGCGCCTGCAGACGAGCTGTCTGGACATGTCGTGGACGTGTCTCTAGGCAGGGCCGCGGCTGGCTTCGAGTGCGCTGGAGTGCCTCGGACCTCGCCCATCTCTCGCCCATCCCTCGGCCACCTCTCGGCCATCTCTCGGTTACATCTCGCCGCGAGCTCGCTCTTGAGCGTCTTGCCGCGCAGGACGCGCCTGCCGACACGTCTCCATGTCATGGGCGTGTCCTGGACACGTCCGTCGCTCGCCGTGCCGCGCAGGACGCGCCGCTTCCCATCCACCGACGCCTCGGTGAAGGAGGAGCGCAGGACGAGCCGCTCGACCGAGGGGAGGCGCCTAGGCGAGGAGCGGTGGCCAGCCACTAGCGAGCACTGGATGCCGAACGATGGACTGGTAGAGGCCGAGGGAGGGGGGCGCCTCAGCGGGCTGTTTGGCGGGATCGAGGAGTCGGAGGCGGCCACCGCCGCGGCCCCTGCGCGCTTCTTTTCGAGGCGAGGCCGCACCTGTCCACACACGCCAGCTGTGAAGAGGCGCCGTTCACACCTCCCGGCCTCCCTCGTGTCGAGGCGGGGCGAGCACGATGGTCAGCACGAACTTGTTGAGGACCTGCTTGGCGGCGCGAATGTCGGACTCGTCGTAGATCTCCTACTCTTGAAGCAGAGCGAGTCAGTCGCATTATTGTTATTATCGTTATGAATGTCGGACTCGTCGTAGATCTCCTACTCTTGAAGCAGAGCGAGCCAGTCGCATTATTGTTATTATCGTTATTAATGTCGGACTCGTCGTAGATCTCCTACTCTTGAAGCAGAGCGAGCCGTCCGCCGCTCGTCCATCAAGGACGTCGCACTCGGAGGACCCTCTCCTCCGTCAGGATCTCATCTCGGGCAATCTCGGGTAATCTCGGGTAATCTCGGAGGCCCCTCTCCTCCGTCAGGATCTCCTCGATGATGTCCTCGAGCGTGATGACCCCGATGCAGCCCGACTTGCCGCCGGGGAACTCGCCCTGGCTCGCGAGCGCCTGAGGAGGGCGTGGAGAGATGGGGAGAGATGCTCGAGAGATGGGGAGCCTGCACCCTGGCTCGCGATCGCCTGCCTCGCCAGCTCCGGGTGGCGCGAGACAAAGGCCATGTGCGCGTGGCCCTCCTGTTCAGTCGGCTAGGGGAAGGGCACCGGTCGGCCAGGGAGGGGCTGGAAGGGGCTGAGGAGCTCGCGAGGTGCGCCCTCCTGGAAGGTGTTGAGGAGCGCGAAGAGAGAGTCCTCCGGCCCAACCTGCTCCGTGCGGGTGGAGGGTTGCGACCGGCCGATCCGTCACTCAACTAAACGCGCTCTAGCCCGCCCTGCTCCGTGCATTCCTCAATCAGCAAAGAGCGAGTTCCCTCCGGGGCTCAGGGAAGCGAACGTGATCTCGGGCGATCTCGGGCGATCTCGGGCGATCTCGGGCGATCTCGGGCGATCTCGGGCGATCTCGCGGCGATCTCGCAGCGATCTCGCGGCGATCTCGCGGCGATCTCGCGGCGATCTCGCCCACTGCGGATCGTGGAAGCGCAGGCTCGCGACGGGCGTGGCGTCGGCCGGCGTGAGCATGATCTGGTCCTTGACGTGTATGAAGCGCGTGATCGAGGACTTGGCGGGCCCCCAGTAGACAGGCACGCGCGAGTGGCCGAGCGCGATGACCTGCTCGCAGATATGGGGAGATGTGGGGAGATGTGGGGAGATGTGGGGAGATGTGGGGAGATGTGGGGAGATGTGGGGAGGTATGGGGAGATGTGGGGAGATGTGGGGAGATGTGGGGAGATGTGGGGAGGTATGGGGAGATGTGGGGAGATATGGGGAGGTATGGCCGAGCGGGGGATGACCTGCTTCATCGTCGCGAGGTCCATAGCCTACCCCCAACCCGCGGACCCGTCAAAAGGGGCCCCCGGGTCCGGGGGTCCTTTTCCCACGGGAAGTGGGGGGGGGGGG